ATCACATTTTAAGACTTGCCCCCTAATATTGCTAATGAAGATGTTCCTGCATAGAATTACAATGTATTTCAGTAGCTAGCTAGCTATATAATCTGAATTTCCTGAATAAAAAGTCTGTTTTTATAAGGGCCGAGGGTTTACTTACAGCTAACTGAATATTTTTTTGAAATAAAGGTATTTTCTGGCCTGTCTATACCTAGTATTTGGAAGACACAATTTATCAGAGACATGGCAGAGGGGGAGGAAGAGGCAGAGGAAAACATTTTGCTTGCACACAGTGGACCTTTCTTTCCCACTCTGTCTGCTGCAGTGGGGTCCCCTGCTCAGGCTCAGATCCAAAGGTCCTTTGAACATGATGTATTTAGGACACTTGGAATGTTGCATACCTTCCAACATTTCTCAAATGGAAATTGGGGTGTCCTAAGGAAAAGCGGGACGTTCCAGGATCAAAGCAGAAACTGAGACAGCTTCTGTAAATCTGGCATTATTTGCAGATATGCATGGTGGAAAAGGACATGGGTGGCACTGTGGTTTAAACCATCGAGCCTCTTGAGCTTGCTGATTGTAAGGTCATCTGTTCGAATCTGCACAACGGGGTGAGCTCCTGTCACTTTGTCCCACTCCTGCCAACCTAGCAGTTCAATTGCATACCAGTGCAAGTAGATAAATAGGTACCACTGCGGCAGGAAGGTAAACAGCGTTTCCATGTCCTCTGGTCCTCGTCACGGTGTCCTGTTGCACCAGAAGCAGTTAAGTCATGCCGGCCACATGACAAATGCTGGCTCCCTTGGCCTAAAAGTGAAGATGAGCGTTGCACCCCATAGTCGTATTCAACTGGACTTAACCGTCCAGGCATCCTTTGTACTACATGCAGTCCTTGTACAAAACAGAATCCTTTCTTTTAATTGTGCTGGAGACCACAGTTTCTATGAATATGAGGCAATCACTGTATCTCAACTGTGGGAGAAAAAGGCTCAAAAGTAATACTACAACAATCTCACCATTCTGTGACTTGTGGAAGACACCCGTTTCTTTTCAAACATGTTAGAGAATTTCATAAAGGGTTGTTACTCTTATAGCCTTTATTTTACTGGGTTGGTATTGGATCACATGTGCCTGTGTACCATTTCAAAGTTTGGTTTGTTAATTTGCTTGCCTGCCTGCTTGCTTACTTACCACTCTTCATCCGCAGATCTCAGGCAGTTTCACAACATAAAATTACAGTATAAAAACTATAAAATCATAGAACAAATAAGAACAAAAAAAATCAATAATTCCCCCGCAGACACACACATTTAAAAGGGCATCACTGCAGGAGGAGAGATTAGCAACCGGCCAGTAGTTATTTTCCAAGTCCAGGGAGGGGTTCTTGAGGAGTGGTTTTACCACTGCCTCCTTCAGTCAGGCAGGGACCACCCCTCTCGCAAGGAGGCATTAATAGTTCCCTCCCTGCTAGTTTTAAAAAGCCAAGAGGGGCAAGGGTCCAGAGCACAAGTGGTTGCCCTGTCCAATCAAAGCACCTTGTCCACATCCTCAAGTCTTACTATCTGCAACTCATCCAACATGACTAGACTAGAGAATGCTCTGGACAACCCTTGAGATTTGTCTACTATAAAAGTGGAGTCAAGATCCTGGTCAAGGCAAGCAGTTACGCCATAGTGAGGATGCAATGGAGGCAGCAAAGTAGGCCTTCTCTGCTGCCTTCACTGCCACTAGGTAGACTCAATGATGAGCCTTCACCAGTTTTCGGTTGCATTCAGCCTAGTTTTTCCTCCACTTGTGTTTGAGCCATCTCCCAACTCAAGATGTTACAATGCAGTGATGTTATACGAAGACTGCATGTGTATAGAATTTACACAGGTTTAGGAGTGGTGCACTAGTATTCAGTAAATGCTGTCCTGGGCTCCCTTGGGAGGAAGGATGGGATGAGATATATGATATGATATCATTTTTCTCTAACTAAAATGCCCCTCCTTTTAACTGAAGAGTTGCAACATGACTATTTCTGCAAATTAGGGATCACGTGATTGTTTTGAGAGCCAGTGTGGTGTAGTGGTTAAGAGCGGTAGTCTGCTAATCTGGGGAACCGGGTTCGCGTCTCCACTCCTCCACTTGCAGCTGCTGGGTGACCTTGGGCCAGTCACGCTTCCTTGAAGTCTCTCAGCCCCACTCACCTCACAGAGTGTTTGTTGTGGGGGAGGAAGGGAAAGGAGAATGTTAGCCGCTTTGAGACTCCTTAAAGGGAGTGAAAGGCGGGATATCAAATCCAAAAAAAAAAACTCTTCTTTTAAAGCCTGTTTTACATTATTTAAAGACAGTCATAGCAGCCATTATTTGAACAGATGAGGCTTCTGCTGTGCGACCACTGATTGTCGTCATCACATCAGTCAGTTAAAGTAACAGTGGAGGCTAATCTGCCCAGTAAGAAACGTGGTGGGTGTTTGTGATCACTTACTCATCAGCATGATGATTAGCACTGTTTGAGAAATAGAACTTCTACAAATTGATAATAAACTGCTTTTTTCATACTAAAACTTCACTTTAAAACATTTACAGCATTCTAAAGGTTAGTTTTGTGGCCTTCACATAAGTCACCTTTCTGCAAGCACAGCTAGATAAAATATGTCCTGTCAACAGTGCTTAGTCACTATTGTCCTCAGCTGGAAATGGTGGGGAGAATATAGGATATATTAAATAACTTAGGAGCACACTAGTGGAAATACTGACATCTTGCAAGCTTTATTTTTTTCTTTTATATTATCATCAAGCGTTAAAGATGATACATTTCATTTATATCATCAGATGAAGTAGATTCATCTATGTTCTGATGTAAGCACTGACCGGGAAACCGGGTTCGCGTCTCCGCTCCTCCACATGCAGCTGCTGGGTGACCTTGGGCCAGTCACACTTCTCTGAAGTCTCTCAGCCCCACTCACCTCACAGAGTGTTTGTTGTGGGGGAGGAAGGGAAAGGAGAATGTTAGCCCCTTTGAGACTCCTTAAAGGGAGTGAAAGGCGGGATATCAAATCCAAACTCCTCTTCTTCTTCTCAACAAAGGCAAAGCAAGACTGGGGCACTCTGGACAACGGATTGGGAGCTTGTGACCAGGACTTGTAAACAGGGGTGTTTGCTAGGATGTTTTGAGTGGGGGGTGGGGCTGGAGTGCTGTCTCAGGGTGTACGTAGGACCAAGGGCATTGCAGTGACCTGCTTCCTGCCTGAGAATGCAGATTCGTATAAAGCCCGCTGACCACAACCCCTTCCTTCTGATTCATACAAACAATAGTGCCAGCCACAGCCTTTGATGTATAGCAAGGGACTATGAGACTCTGCACAAGAAGCTGAAGGGCTTTGGGGCATAGGTGGGTTTTTTTAATCGCTCCTTCTTGTTGAAGGTTGTGGCCCAGGAAGAGAGAGGAAAATACTAGCTGCATAGGTGGTGTCGTCAGGAAAGCTTTGGCTTTTTGGACCATGGTCCGTGCTTTCTTTAGGAAGGACTTTTGGGAAGATACATGTTGCACTTCACAGCATTTGGCAAGAATGTCTTTGCTAAAAGTCTTGTGAAGCTGAAAGCAGGGGGCCACCTGGGACAAGGGATATTGTTATTGTTTAAATTTGTATGCCACCCTCCATTTGAACATCTCAGGACAGAAAAATACAAATGGAGAATAGAAAGTACATAATAAAAAACAAACCAATAACCCACAGCCGAACACCTGGTTGAAGAGAAACATTTTTGCCTGGCGCCTAAACTTATGTAATGAAGTTGTCAGGTGAGCCTCCCTCCTGCCACCCACTGGACCTTTCACAGAGGAGGCACACAGAGAAGGGCCTCAGATGATGGTCACTGGGTTCCTATGGGTGGTTCCTAAGGGGAGAGGTGGTCCTTGAGGTATTGTGGTCCAGATCTCTTTAAGACTTTATAGGTCAAATATTGGTCAAATGTTGGACTAGATGATCCTTGGGGTCCTTTCCAACTTGACAATTCTATGATTTTATGATTCTATGACTCATGAATGGTATATGAGAAAATAGCTCAGATGTTACTTGAGCAGCAGTTACTCTTGGTCTGAACCTTACATATGAGCTGCAGCTTCTCAGTGGCTGGCTCTCCTTTCACAGAGAGATGCCTCTTCATTTATAGGATTCTAGCCTTCTCCAGCAGATAGAGCAGGGAAGACTTTGGTTGCACTAGGGCTTCTGCTATTACAGTCATTTGAGTCAGAGGAGGTCAGTGTGATGTCTTCATGCCAGAAGGTTACTCTCTCCAAAGTAATGTCCACAGTGGTGAATTCTCAACTTCATGGAACTGCTAGCAGATCATTTAGGCATGGCTAAGGTCTTCTGGTTTTCTCCTTGCCCTCCTTCCTTTCAACAAAATAGTGGGTACTTAAACACTGAAGTTGTATAAATTCAGCACCTATGTGTTATCATGGTTCAGAAGGGGCCACTTCTGTCACAATTTCTGGTTTGGGTTCATAGCACAATAACCACGTATTATTCAGAAATAAGTCCCACTGAATTCAATAGAGATTGTTCCCTAATAGATATGTACAGAATTGTAGCTTGACTTGATTAGTCTTAAAGGTGCCACACAGAACCGTTAACAAGGGTTCCCATAAATTGATCATTAAAGAACAGGAAGCAGAGAGTAGGAATAAATGGACAGTTCTCATCATGGATGGATATAAGAAGTGGGGTCCCTCCAAAGATCAATATTGGGACCACTCTTTAACTTGTTGCCTTCCTCCTGGTTTGTATCCCCAACTGGTTAAAATGTATAAGATATGAGGCTGCCGGCGGGGTGGGTATGGATGATGGGTATGTATACTGATAATTTTATTTTAAAAGAATGTACTCACTAGTATGTGAATGAAGGAGCCATATCAAAGTAGTTAGTGCAATAACAAATGCTGTAAAACTTCATAGGATATGAACATATATATACTTGTGTGTGTGTCTCTAACAGTGTGTTTCATATTACTTCTTTCTTCTTAATAGGGCATGCTGCTGAAGCGAAGTTGCAGATCTTTAAATAAAGAGTGGAAGAAGAAATATGTTACTCTCTCTGATAATGGCGTACTGACCTATCATCCAAGTTTACATGTAAGTGTGCATGCATTTCACAGTTATCAAATGATGTTTCAAAACCAGGAATCAGACCCACACAAATTACAGTGGTTAGTTAATTCAAGGTTAATTAATTTTTGAAGGAAGTGGAAGGTTTTTGCCTGGTGCCGAAAGATACATAATGAAGGCACCAGGCAAACCTCACTGGGGAGAGCATTCCACAAACAGGGAGCCAGCACAGAAAAGGCCCATTCTCTAGAACTCATATGGAGGAGGCACACAAAGAAGAGCCTCAGATGATGAACGCAGAGTCTGGGACGGTTTATATGGGGAGAGGCGGTCACTGAGGTATTGTGATCCTGAACTGTTTCCATAACCTTTCATTGCCTACAGACAGCCACCCAATTTTAAACAACTCCTCACCCACAATAATGCAGCAAGCAGACTTAACATGGACACTGGTACCAGAGCCTGCAATAAACCCAGATGCCAACTTTCTTGCCACATACACCCAGACAACACCATCACTGGACCCAACAACATCAAACATACCATCTCAGGCCTATTTAATTGCTCATCTTCTAACATTGTGAAGGGAGTGAATAGAGGTTGACTGACAAGTATCCATTATTTTTTTAAAGGAAAATGCAGTTCTAATCAATGTGAAAATTAGAATTAAAAACATACTTTGATTACAGTTGAGTAGTAAGGGGGGGTGTTTGATAAGATACATAAGTGCCATTTCACAGTTTGCTTTGATAAAGGGAATGGTTGATAAATGTAGCTTTCAAATGTAGTGTTATTGGAGAGCCATAATGCATAGTTTATTTTCTGTGCAATATTAAGCCTCCATTTAGGCTTTATTTATTTGCACAGATTTTGGTATTTTTATAGAAATCATTCTTTTTTCACACTAAATGACAATGTATTAAACTTTCTATGTCTTTTCCCAGTGGAGTAGAAAGTTTGCTAGGAACATTTCAAAGGCAAACATAATTTCTTTTTAAGAATATCATCTCCCGGCACTTGGAAGTAACCCTGTATTTCTGAATTTAGACTGAAAGCATCACTGTGTGTTATCCAGTAGTACTGAACATATAAGAGCAGTGTGCATAACGATGTGGCTACATCCAGCAGTATTTTATAAATACGTGTTTTTGGCTAAGCTTATAACACAATTGTAGATTTCCTAAGGTCTTTCGTAGGAGGAGATGATCTCTTTCCCCCCCAGGTGTGCCTGTGGCCCCAGTGGAAACCAATCAAGGTGCGATTTATGTTCATTAAGTGCTTGTCAAAACTGAAAAATTTTCTAATCAACAGCAATCTAACTGAAGCCTCCTCAGTGGCTGGGAGTGTCGCCTCTGCAGTGTCGGCTACTTGCCTGTTACAACTCTAGGCTAGAAATCCACTGATGATTACATTAGGCTAAGCTTCGAAGTAAATGAACCATATCTTATTTAGGTGCAACTAGCTTCAGTGTAGTCCTGCCCTGCAGGGCACTTTATAGCATTTTATGGCTTTAAAATTAGTGTAGCTTCCCATTTGCTGCAGGGTGCTACATGTTATGCCTTTGAACCCCATAAGCAAAGGGAAGGGGGTCTTTGTTCCCCTCCCTTTATTTTTCCTCTGCATTTTAGCTATTTTATTTTGCATCTTTTCCAGACGGCATTTTGCAATAAAAATGTCTGACTTCCCTCTGTACACAAAAAAGTAGAGTCATCAGCATTTGCCAGTCAGTACATACAATACTCTCAAACAATACTTAGCAATCTAAATAGATTTGCAGGTTGTTAACCAGTTTTCAATGATCTTTTTCAGTTATAAAATAGCGTTTTGAAATAAGATTTGTAATTTGCTGTAATTTGTTGTTTTCCTGTAAAGTATGGTTTGTATGAATTAAATAAATTTTCAGTCTACTAAGACTGAATTAAATTAGTTATTGATAGGGAAACAAAAGCGCAAAGGCATTTCACACACTTAATTGGATAGAAGTATGACGAGCATATTAAAGACAAAGAATTTAACTTAACTCACTTAATTTCTGCAGAAATTAATATTGCTAATTATCAGAATGGTAAAAGATTGATATGTTTTGCTTACTTTGATTGGAATAAGGAGGCATTGAACAGTGGTGATAAATAAAATAAGGGATGATTAGGTTAGCAGACATTGGATAGGGTTGTTATAGTTAGTGTACTCTATTATGCCCACATAGATTATAAAGAATTGTTGTCATTGAGTCTTTTTAAAAAGAATGAGATTTTTCATCAAGTAAGCTAAATAAAAGTAGAGAAAATCATTGGCCCTGTGTGATTTCTAAACTCTCCAGCAGGGCACAGTATGAAACAGTGCAAGGTAAATAGGTCCCATGCCAGATCTAGTTAGAAATCAGAAAACCTATTCTGCATGTCCCATAAGACCTTTTGAGCATAACAATTCATGCATATGGTCTATGGTTTCTGAACTGCTCAGCCAAGCCCTGATTCTGCAGTGTTCTTAGTAAAGTCTAAGTAAAGCTTTGCCATTAATAATTTCGCGTTTTATATCACCTCTGCACCACTATGAATGTACTACTCATACAGGGAGATGAAGTACAGACTGACCAAAGATGTATTTTGCAAATCTTAGTTTAATATTATATTTGTAGAAAAGAGTGCATTCTAAAACCTTTAAGAACTTGTACTGCATGAATACCAGGGATATTTGATTAAAAAAAAAAAAAGAAACAGTAGAATCTGTCCCCACATCACATTTATTAACTTCTACTGGTACTTTCCTCTGCCCATCATATGTCATGTATTTCTCCCTTTCCTTTTGTTATGTACTGAGTTGAATAGGTTCCAAAATGCAGCAGTCTGATTGGTCCTAGAACAATAAGATCCAAAATGCAGCAGTCTATTGGTCCTAGAACAATGCAGCAATATGATTGGCCCACAGGAGCCACCCAATCCAGCTCCAGATGGAAGTGAATCCACAACCTGAGTGGCCTACAGGAGAATTCCGGAATTAGCCAATCACATGCAGCTCATTGTGTAAATAATGTATATAAAGCAGATACTTTGAGGGGACTTTCATTCCTCCTCACCACTAAGAGCTGAATAAAGAGCATGAAATCCACTCTCGACTCAATTTCACCTTTCCCTTCTGATTCTGGTTAAACACGGATCATTGGGAACATAGGCCTTGATACAGAATCAGACCATTGACCCATCTAGCTCAATCCTGTCTACAATGACTGGATTCCAGCCAGGAGGCTCCTCTTGCCCGACCTGGAGATTGCAAGAATTGAACCCGGAGCCTTCTACATGCCAGGCAGATACTCTGCCACTGAGCTACAGTCTTCCTTTTGCCCATGAAATTAACTCTGGCCAATGTCACCCTTCCTATATTTCCTGGCTTCACACAGCCCATAAATAATGCTTAACAAGATAGTTTGTGGATAATCTGATAAAAGTGCATGGCAGCCGCCTTATTTACTGCTGCTTAGCGAGAAACAATATAATGTGTAGTAATGTGGGTGGTGGGTATTTTGCTTTTGATATGTCCAAAACTAAAGCAGAAGCTCTAGACGTCAAACATTTGGATTATTTTGAAATACAACGATTCTGCAGGCAGATACCCTTTTCCTAATGGGGCAATCCAGGGGGGGGGTTGAGATTCAGGAATTCCTACATCCCTAGTTCTAATCAAGCAGCCTTCTGAAATGATTTATTTGTTTTAATTTTTAATCTAATCTTAATTTAGCATCTGCATGCTTCTTTTCCAAAAACAATGTTGAGATAAAAAAGGCTCACAACACTAACAATGCAGTAGAAAATAACATATGTATGATCTTATTTAGGTGCAACTAGCTTCAGTGTAGTCCATGGCTTTAAAATTAGTGTAGCTTCCCATTTGCTGCAGAGTGCTTCATGTTATGCCTTTGAATCCCATAAACAAAGGGAAGGGGGTCTTTTATATGGTTATGGTGTTATACTGATACATTTGTCAGCTGGGGTCTCACTCACCCTGGAGGGAACACACACTCCCTTGCAAACAGCAGCAACCAAGCCAGGATTGCAGACCTTTGCAGCTCCAAATGTCTGTTAATGGCATGCAACTGATAAAGAGAGACAACACCTTCTTTTCTAATAAAGAGGAATCTTACTCCAGAATGGATCTGTTTCCGATTTCACCTAACATGACTCAGGAAGCATACATGATGGACTCATAGAACCATGTAATTGTAGAGTTTCACTAGTAAGAGGATAGTGCAACTCATCTGCGTGAGTTTAGGACCTTTTATTTTAAGAGAAAAGGTGATTTAGAGGAGTCACTTTTTTGCATGGTATTCAAAAAGCTTTTTTTTCTATCTCAATGCTAGAACTTGTGGACATGAAACTGGATGTTGGAAGTTTTACTGCAGACCAAAAAAGTACTTCACACAGCCCATAAAGAGGTGTTGATGGCCACAGACTTAGATGCCTTCAAAATAAGATTCATGGAGGAAAGGGCTATTAATGGCTGCTCCACCTCCACTCTCAGTTGCTGGGAAATACAAGTGGGGAGAGTCCTGCATTCAGGCTTCCCATGGGCACCTGGTTGTTCTCTGTGAGAACAGGAAGCTGGGCTAGATGGGCCATTGGCCTGATCCAGGCTCTTCTTATTTTCTTATGAAGCTAATAAAGGGTCTCCTAGCCACACTCCTCTTCAAAATGTCCCAATAGAAGTGGGATGGATAATTTTAATTATTATAAAAAGAAAGTTCAGCAAAAATTTAAGATAGTTGTAATCTCTGACAGTAGTCCCTAACTTGGATTGCGCAGTTACTTTTTATTTTAAATTATTTTAAAATATTTGGTAACTTCCTCTTAGTCATTTATAAGCAAAAGTCTATTTCAACACATGTGTCAGGGAGAATTCAGAGGAGGAAGTGACAGAAGAGGCGGAGCAGGGGCTCGGGGATGCTGTGGAACCCTTCAACCGCCCAGAGGCCCGGGAAGGGAGCTCAGACTCTGGAAGGGAGGGGGCTTTCAAATCAGCAAAGATTTGAAGGAGGGAAATGAAACATAAGGGTCAAAAACATCTTGCGAATTTCCCCACCTCCTTTGTTGGCGGGAGAATTGAAGGAAGCCACTCCCCGAATCTGACTCAACGAATTCAGATGCATAAACCTGAACTGTAGCTGTTTCTTGCACATATGTAATAAAAAATGTAAATATCAAGCCGACTGTGCCGGGGTGTTAATGTGAAGGGGAGACACCACCTTTACAACATGTTGTACAGCCTTATGTGCAGTGAGCACTAGTGTAGTCAAATTATCACATCAGCACTGCTCTGTTTGCACAAATGCCAAGGGTATCCTCAGAAAGAAAAGCAGTGGCTATCAATATAGTGGGTGTATTGTAGGAATTTATTGATTGATTAATGTGTTTTGAGTTTAACTTCAACTACCACATTGCCCACAGCTGACTAAGATGAAGTTGCCAGTTAATGATAACTGTAGGCAATTGCATATGTTGTATTTTACTAGCACAAGAGATTGTGTGCAGATCTCAGTTTAACAGAAATGCTTGCATCTAGGTAGCAGAAGTAAAGTGTATTTTCGATGCACTATGCTGCTTTACAGCAATTGCTGTGCAGATATTCAGAACAGATTGGATGTGTTGTTGCATATTATTATTTCTGTAGGAATCCATTTGGTGTACTGAAGTCCTAATGGAATATGCCACGACCTTCCCCACACAAACTGACTGCCCAAATCCCCTTGAAAACAGCTCCACAGAAGGTGGTACCCGTGTTAAGCTGTGCTTCTGTCAGCAAGCTGAGAGCTGTGGGTCTCTGACATGGCACTCAATTGCTAGCAGGTTTCTCTCATTGCACCTCATTTGCATCTGGGACATCAATTAGCATGTTTGTTGAGGCTAATTGAATGAAACTCAATCATAGCTCTTAATTGCTTGACTATGTGAAAAGAAATCACATTAATGCAGCTAATTAAGTGTATGGCAATAGATGCAACATAATTAGGAGTGGAATGTAAAAAACAAGCGATGGCAGAGGTGCAAGAGCCACGGGGTGCCGGGCATTCAGATGCTCAGCTACCTTGATATGAACACCTTTCGGGAGGAGACCCTCCTGGCTCCGGTGCTTTTTGTATGCTGCTGAATTATGAACGTGGAAAACTTGAGAGGCAAAATGTAAATGGATTTGCAATTACTACTTTTTCAAGCTGTTGAGGGGCAGAAGATAGCACTTCTGGGGTGGGCCACTATGGAGTGGGCTCTGGGGACTTGTTAAGTGCTGTTTAAAAGTACTTGGCTTTGAATTACCCTCGTGTCTTGTTAAAGGTTCTTTCCCCCTCCTGTCCCCCCATCTTTTTTTTTTTCTGCGATCAGCATTTTCTACAACTAACGTCTAGGGGAGTTTTCTTTGTAATATTTGCATATCAAAATCAGGCTTGCTATCTTCTCTTTAACACAGCATATTCCAGATGACAGGGTCATCTTCATCTTTTTCTAATGTGATCATACAATAAATCACTATTCTGAAGTGGCTAGGCTTTTTTGTAACCTTTTATTTCTCCAGGGCAGCAAAATTTGCGATGGAAAAGTGTTGAGATCTTGCTGGAAGGAAACAGCACTTTGCCAGTTTCCTAGTCTGTGAAACAATTACTGTTATGTACTTTATATACAGTGAAAGGGACTGTTGCGTTACACAGTGTTGAAACATTAAGGAATAGTTTAAGATGACATTTCATACAGTGATGTTAGCATCACAATTTCATTGAAAAACAGTATTGACATCTCCCCCTGAAACACTCCCCTCTGCCGCCACCGCCTAAAATGTATTTGTGGCTTATATACTAGAAGCCATACTATATTGTAGCTGGAAAAGGTGAGGGATTCATAACATGAGACTGATAAAATGGACAGAGATCTACTGGAGCCAGCCCCACAAACAATTATTATGGGGGGCCCAGGCACCTACTGATTTTGTAGAATCTGCAGTGGGTAAAAACACTGGGTTTAAAACCGCTCCATCGAGCAGAATGTCATGATATGTTGGGAGATAATAATAAAGTTCACTATCCCTGGTCTAAAAGTTTAGGATACATTTTGAAAACATTTTATTTCATTTACATGGAATAGGCAGTCAAGGTTTAATTAAGATTTTAAATTATTGTTCTTGTCTCAAGTTGAGCCATGGACACTTAACATGTATGTTATAGAAATTTGAAAGTGGGGGCTAGTATTGACTTCAAAGGCTTTTTGCAATGATACTGTATGCGATTTGTCAAGACTAGCTTCTGAACTGTCGATGTCTTTCATTCCTCTCCCTCAGTAATAACCTTTAAAAACAATCATAAGGCTACACTATTGACCAGGCTTTTTTTTCATCCATTTTTCCTTTCTTTGCAGTTAGATTTTGGAAATAAGTAGTACTGTCAGTGAAAAGCATAGATGCATAAGAGTGAATTCCCCTACTTTGTACCTCATTGGGGTGGCTTTGCCTCATACCAGGCATCTAATTCTGGGCTAATTCTTTCATTGGTGCCTTTTATGCCTGTTGAAAATTAGGTCTGTTAATTGTGTTCTGCATGACTCCTACATTGATGGAGCTTTTTCACATTCATCTGCATTTTATTGTCATAAGTCACTTTAATTTGTCTTTAAAAAATACAAGTTTTTTTAAATAAATAAGGTCTGTATCATCAATCAAGGCTGTTATACCATGGGGTAGATAATTTAAAATACTCATTTTAGGCAGGCATCTGAAAACTGTTCTGTTGAATAAGCTAATACAGTTTCCCACTCTCTCTCTATGCTTTTGCATGTCCATGTGCGTCATGTATAACAAAAATATTACTTGTTTGCTGTCTTTCATATATAGGCTCCAAAGAGCTGCTTTACATTACCATGGGTTTGAGCATTCCCAGTGGGAATTATATACTTTCCTGTTTAACAGCCTAGCGTCTCCTATGCTGTGTATAGTCTGCTTTCAGAAGTTCTCTGAAGTTCAACTGTAGTTTTGCATATAGAACAGTGCACTGCTGTTTTAATAAATCAACACCCAAAGCCCTGTTGGGCATATGGAACTAGTTGTGTAAGGTCTTTGGATCCTACCATCTCAAAATCACATCCATCCTCTCCCACATTAAAATACATACCTTCGTGTTCCTTTCATGCAGGATTATATGCAGAATGTTCATGGAAAAGAAATTGATCTTCTGAGGACCACAGTTAAAGTCCCAGGGAAGAGGCCACCTCGAGCTACGTCAGCATGTGTACCCATCTCCACTCCGAAAACAAATGGCTTGTCCAAAGACATAAGCAGTTTACAGATCTCACCAAATTCCGGTAAGTTTTAAAGCAACACGACTACAGTCCATTGCAGTTCTATGATTTAAGTGTTGCTGGTTTTTTGTATGGAGGATCACTCTATTGTGTGACCCCCAACTGCCATCTGAAGTTGTACATTCCAGGCATTGCTTCAGTGTACCTCCCAAGGTATTCTAACTGGTGTGCAGAATGCAGAACTGCTAAGGAGTTGGTAGTTAGCAACTTCTGCACCCCAGGCAACATTTCGGACCCTACAAGCAACTTTTTCAACCCCCAAGACCCATTTTGCTAGTGGAGGTGGAGGCTGTGGCAGGGAAAGAAACCTGTGCCCTCTCCACTTTTGAAATGATCAAGAGGGAACAAAATACCTCCCCATGGCTCTGCATTGGGATCTCTCTGCATGTTAGCATGTGTGTGTCTGCCTGCGTGTGAGAGTAGGTGTTGTGTGTAGTGTAAGAGTGTGGGGTGGCCACATCCACCAGTGGCAGGCAACAGTGCTGTCTCGGGACAAAAAACATGTCAACTATCTAAGTCTTGATTTGATGAAGCAATGATCGGGGGACTGATAGAGCAAATAATCAGGACAAGAGTGGCTACCAGATAAAATTTCAGCTTGTGAGTGTTAAAGCACAGGTTACATAAGATGCGTGTTTCCCTCACATTTACCATAAGGTCAATGGGTCTTTACTTCTATGACGTGTTTAGAACATCTGATACCTGTTTCAGTGTTTTGTGTTGGAAGCTGATATCTTAAGACAGAACCAGTCTACTTGCGTTGGCAGCAGCATATACTTCATTTATCCCCTGCCCAGTGTGTTGGGCTAAAGACTGTTTGAGACTGCCTAATGGTTTTCCTGGAGGCCATGAAGTGCCAAGCCGGCCCAGCAACAGGGGTCCTCCAACACCATGCCAGAAACCAGCTTGGTTAGAGATGCTGGAAGGCATGAGGGTGGTTGATAGACCAGCAGCATCCCCAGTCTGTCTCTGGCTCCAATACCAGGTGCAGACCTTCTAAATCCATTCCAAGATCAAGTGGTCTTCTGTTGAGGTGGCGCTTGTATGAACAATAGCACTTGCTGCCCTCAGCCCCTTGGTCTAGTCTGGAGCTGAACCGAGAACTCAGATGGGCACAATTGAGTTAGGTCAGGGCCACCTAGCAATAAGGTTACCAGGTGTCCCCATTTCCCGGAGACAGTCCCCGGATTTACAAATCAGTTCCCATGCAAAATCCATTGAAGTTGAAAAGTGTCCCCAGATTCATTGAAAAAAATCTGGTAACCTTAACCTAGCTCACCTATCCAAGTCGCAGAAAGGCAAGCCTTTCATCCACAGTCAAGTCATGGACAAGCATGATCTTGATACAGGCTAACCTGGCATTCAGTGACAGCACCTTCAAACTAGACAGCTCAAATGATAAAGTAGCAGTAGCTTCCAGAGGAGTGGGAGTGCTGAAACAGGACAGTGACCAAACATATGGGTCTCCACCCCAGATAACAGTCAGCTCCTCCACTCCAACTATACCTGCTGTCTGCCTACCCCGTCACATCCTAGCACCATCACTCAATGTCATACAATACAGCAGGAACATTAGGACCGCAGATAATAAACAACCACTTGAAGTCTGAAGATGCCACTTGAGTCACTTTCCACAAACCAACAATATTTTGAATCCCAAACAGATGTTTTATCTTGCTGTTTCTACTCACATAGTTCACGGGGGGGGGGTGGATTCTTATAATTTCTAACGTCAAAACTAGTGTGCTTCAAAACAAAATACTGTGGTGGCCAGTTCATCATATGTTAAAATTTGTAAGCAGGAACTGGTTTTTCTGAACAAAAAAATTCCTTCCAGTAGCACCTTAAAGACCAACTAAGTTAGTTCTTGGTATGAGCTTTCGTGTGCATGCACACTTCTTCAGATACACAGTTTTTCTGAGTACCAAATGCAGGTTTTTCTGAGTACCAAATGCAGGCACAGAGTGTGTGGGGAATGGTGCCCACATGCAGAAATTGTAGTTTGAAAGGACATGGATATGTGGTGCAAGAATGGGAAAGGATTGGGTCCCTGCTGGTCTGGATTTTGCCAGTAAAATGTGTGCTCTATATGCAAGAATTAGTATAGAGTGCATCATAGGAAACAGCTTTGCATCAATTAACTTCTAAAAACACACTTTTTTCTTTAAAAGAATAAATGCTTAAAAGAGTCTTTAAAAAAAACTTTTTAACATAATACAGGGGTTACACCTGTGTTCCAGGGGGCAACACCTGTGACCCTCCGTATATTGTTGGGATTCCAACTGTCATGAGCCCCAGCCAGCATCGCCGATGATCAGGAAGGTTGGGGGTTAAAGTCTGGCAACTTCTGAAGAGCCACAGGTTCCCCATTTCTGAGCTACGAGAACACATGAAGGGAAAAGGTGGACCCAAATTTTGTGGGTGGAATTAGTGAAAATTGCTTCCAAGTTTCTCAGGTTTCTCCAGTTAGCCTATTTTCAAAAGGCACTGTAATGAATCCATCTTTATCAATGGGGGGATAAAAATTTGCTTTTTCATATGACATGGGGTGGGAATTGCAAGAAGGCAGTTTGATGACCTGTTTTGAGTAGTTGACCAAAATATATTGAGAAATGAAAATGAATGTAAGTTAGCAGCATCTTAAAGTTGTTGCTCATGTTTTAATCCAAGTCATTCTAAAATTTACCAGATGCAAGTCCTTGTAGTTTGGAGCAAGAACAAATTTGTCTTAGCTCCCACTATGCTTATATGACATTGAAATCTAATCTGTTTGTTCTCATTAATATAATAATAATAATAATAATAATAATAATAATAATAATAATATATACCCCGCCCATCTGGCTGAATTTCCCCAGCCACTCTGGGCAGCTCCCAACACAATTAATGATGGTGGTGATCGTGTTGATGATGATGATGATAATAATAATAATAATAATAATAATAATAATAATAATATAAAGCGATCAAACATTGAAAACTTCCCTAAACAGGGCTGCCTTCAGATGTCTTCTAAAAGTCAGATAGTTGTTTATTTCCTTGACATTTGGTGGGAGGGTGTTCCACAGGGCACCACCACTGAGAAGGCCCTCTGCCTGGGTCCCTGTAGCTTCACTTCTTGCAGTGAGGGAACCGCCAGAAGGCCCTCAGAGCTGGACCTCAGTGTCCAGGCAGAACGATGGGGGTAGAGACACTCCTTCAGGCATACTGGGCTGAGGCCATTAGGGCTTTGAAGGTCAACGCCAACACTTTGAATTGTGCTTGGAAACTTACTGGGAGCAAATGTTTTGTTAACTCTCTCTCTCTGGTTCCCTCACCCCTCTCCCTGAACATATTTTCAAGTAATACCTTATGTACCAGAAAGGTGTAACATTGGAGCTGCACTGCAGGGAGAGTAGCTGACAGGAGAGAAAAATGAAAATACAGCTCATCAATCTGATTTCCATACTTAAAGATAGCTTCTGTCATTTCATCCACAAGTGAAACCTGTTATAACATAACCCCAGATTTGAAGAGAGAGCCAGACATTTTGTAAGATCCAAATGATTTTTTCAAAAATTGAAACAAACTAATTTTTTGCCTTGCATTTTAATTTCTTTACAGCTGCTCTGTGCAGGTCTGCCATGAAAACTGAATATATAGCAGATGATAAACAATAGCCCCTGCTCATAGTTGCCAGTTAGTTAACTAATATCCACAGAGCCAGTTATTATTTTAAATTCAAGAAATAAAGACCATGTTTGTAAAATCTATTGCATTAAGAATTTTTTGCATACTAACAGAATATGTGGGGGAAGTATATTACTAATGTTAAATTATTATTATTATTTTATTATTATTACTTATATAAAATAATATTAATATGCTGTTTATATGTAAAAATGACTTCAAAGCAGCTTACAACTATAAAATCAATATATTATTAAAATACACAATAACAAACAGCTACTTTATGGACTAGAAGTATGAGGATCGGTGGAAATTCATATTTCAGAGGCAGTCCAAAAGATATTTCATAATATCTTACATTTACTTTTTAATACCCCAGCTTCACACATTAGAGTTGAGACAGGGCAATTTTCATTAGTTGCCACAGCAGAAATTCACACAGTTCATACCAGCTACTGATAGGCTTGTATGAATGACAGAGTTCCCAAATTGTATGTACAAGAACAAGTCTCATAGTTCAAAATTCTGCAAAGGATAATTGGCATGCCAACATAAAAATCAATATAATTTTTCAGAGGCCTCTGTGGCACAATTGAGCTAGTCAACTCAGCTAAATTGCAGATAGGAATAGGATTTGAATGTTAAATGTTCAAATGCACAGTAGCAATACAATTGGTTCCATTATTGCAAAAGGGCCTGCTTCCTGGAAATGCTTCACCAGGCCCTTGTAAGCTCAAAGGAGCCTTCAGGCCAGCATGCTTTCAGACAATGTAATCCGTGGAATAGTATGTTCAGCATTATGTGAAAGAACACCAAATATTTGTGGGTCAAATGAGGAAGAAGCATTGGATCGCTGTTTACCTTGTGTCTACTATCATTCTCAGACAAGAATGCTTTTTTAAATAAAATTTGACATTACTGTAGTATCAACCAAGCTGGAACATTTTGTTGTTGTTTAGTCGTTTAGTCGTGTCCGACTCTTCGTGACCCCATGGACCAGAGCACGCCAGGCACTTCTGTCTTTCACTGCCTCCCGCAGTTTGGTCAGACTCATGTTTGTAGCTTCGAAGACACTATCCAACCATCTCGTCCTCTGTCGTCCCCTTCTCCTTGTGCCCTCCATCTTTCCCAACATCAGGGTCTTTTCCAGGGAGTCTTCTCTTCTCATGAGGTGGCCAAAGTACTGGAGGCTCAGCTTCAGGATCTGTCCTTCCAATGAGCACTCAGGGCTGGTTTCCTTAAGAATGGATCGGTTTGTTCTTCTTGCAGTCCATGGGACTCTCAAGAGTCTCCTCCAGCACCATAATTCAAAAGCATCAATTCTTCGGCGATCT